TATTTACCTGGTTACATATAAACATTATATCTCCTTGACATTATTTACCTGGTTACATATAAACATTATATCTCCTTGACAATATTTACCTGGTTACATATAAACATTATATCTCCTTGACATTTTTTACCTGGTTACATATAAACATTATATCTCCCTGGCATTATTTACCTGGTTACATATAAATATTGTATCTCCTTGACAATATTTACCTGGTTACATATAAACACTATATCCCCTTGACAATATTTACCTGGTTACATATAAACATTATATCTCCTTGACATTATTTACCTGGTTACATATAAACATTATATCTCCTTGACAATATTTACCTGGTTACATATAAACATTATATCTCCTTGACAATATTTACCTGGTTACAAATAAACATTATATCTCCTTGACCCTCTTTATCTCCCATAACAGCATCCTTTGATATACCCACTGCCACGTATCCAGAACCTTGACGGATAGTTTCCCAAGTTACCTACAATACAAAAACAGGGTTATCCATAAAGTATTGTATTTAATGACGACCAAAAAACCCTCAAAATTGAATTTTTAAAAGGACTGCAGATAGGGGTTCCAATCGAAATCGGTAGGTTTGACAGGCATACTCGCTGAAAAGGTTCCATATATTGCTTCCATAAAGAACAACAATAAGTGTGTTTAGCAGATGACTTTTGCAGTGGTGAGTAGAAACGGAAAATTCCCAATAATTCAGTAGATGATCCAATGTAGGAACCTCTAGCCTTTCTGCAGCCTATATCTTGTGAACCTGATTCATGAATGATATGACCAGTGTCATTTGAGCCGCATCTTAAATCCACCAAAAACCGGTCTTAATTGACCACTGACATAAATTTAATAAATTTAAGTGGAACCAACCATATCTGAGCCGCGGCTTAAATTTAAACCGCGGCTCAAATTCTTTAAACTCGGCCTCAAGATGGTCAACCTGACTGACCCAGGGCAGCTTCTGATGAATAAGGACGACCTCCACCGGTTTTCTGTCACGTCCACAAGTAAAATAAATACATTTGGATTTGGATGGATCTGGATTTGTTAAAAAGGAAATACTATGCTCATCAGCATACTTTTCACTAAGTTGCAGTAGGTTTTGTAAACCAGCAATAAACCTCGAACAAAGATAGCTGGAACCCCTTTGTCAAGGATTTTACCAAATAGTTTAGAAAATAAACACTTATCAAAAGCTTTGCTACAGTCCATAGCAGCAACATTGACAGATGTATGTTTCTGTTTGAAGAAAGAAATTGTCTGCAGATCCAGCGGGGTACACTGAGTGGTGGGAAGTTTTAGATTTATATCCAAACTGAAGATTATCTGAGTATATGTTTGTCACTAAAAAATGACATAATCACTTTGAAAATCAGTGAGGACATAGCAATAGAACGATAATTATCTCAAATGCATTTGAAATCACGATAACATGGACCAAGACGATTGAATCTCACTTTAAAGGGAGTTCAGGTGTAATTTTAAGTGAACCTCTATGCAAAGACAGGAATATCCCGATCCCGACGGTAACCTTGAAACCTTAAACTGAAAAAAATGTGGAAGATATTGCCATTTTTCTAGGTTAAAAAGTGATAAATTCTAATAATTCTTATGTTTTTTCCTGCAGTTTAGTCACTATAGTATAAAGAAAAACCACAATTGGTAATAATAAGTTTTCAAACTTATCAAAATTGATATCTAATTCTTACTTGATCAGACAAAGCTTTTCATGGTACCGTTGTGAATCGGGCATTGCCATCTTTGTATTCAGTGTCACTATAGATTGCAGTCACTTTAACTAATTAAATCTAGCCTATGGAAGTTACTCGCCTTGTCGCGTTGAATTACAAGAAAGAGAGAGATTAGTATACATATTTAAGGGTTAGGTTAGGTTAAGACACTGCGGGCCTGCGGCTAGAACAGGCTAGAAGGCTCTCTCTCTGTCTTGTTATTTAACACGACATGTGTGCCTAACTCCTTTGGGCCTCCGCCTCAAATCTAAACCTTTTTGCCGTTCAGTTTCCACGTGACCATGTAATCACAGTTTTTTGTCTTTTCACATCCGGCCGGAGATCCAAAACAGGTTTTAGATGTACTGCATCCGGAATACACGTCAGAAGAAACTTCTAAATAAAAAATGTAAAAAATTGTTAAATTATATATTTTTCCCCCATCTTTTTTATACTAAAATCGCAGGAATAGAAGTGTGTGTGTCTGAAAGTGGTATTCAACGTGGAAACTTTTAATTCAAAATGAGTTATTGTTAAATCGTTGAGAAAAATTTCAGTCGTTATTAGCAATCATATCCTTGAACAAGACCATATTGCTGGCTATCAGTATACAGATATGGGTCCTTTTCTAAAGTGGTTAACATTGTCAAATTTCCGATGTAGGGTTATTCAAAAACATTGAACTCTGTTTATAAGAAAACAACTAAACGCTGTTTAGATAAATACATTTGGACCGGAGGAGGTGGTAATTATTAAATCCTTACTGTTGGCCTAGCCTGAGTCCGAATTTAATGAATTTGAGCCGTGTCTTAAAATACCCCAAAAACAGGTTTAAATTGAGCGCCGGCTTAAATCTTGAAACACTGAATACAATTTTAAAATTTTTTTAACTCGGCCTTTAGTATCGTATTCTCTTTTATCAGTTACTCGGTAGATCTATACAAGTAAACTTTATACCTGGAGAAATGGGCTGGGTTACATTTTCAGTAGAGTTTTCGTTTCCTAAATTATAAACGGTTAAAGTTCTACAGAAATTTATTCTTTATCGACACAAACTCTGATTTTCTAAGCCGCCCTAAATCTTTGCAACCCTTATACATTTCATGTTATGAATGCTGCTAGATCAAATTATCAAGTTTGAAATATAAAAGGTTCTATATATGCAAAGATATAGGGATTAGAATATTTCAGTTAGTGTCAAAGACTCAATTCCTTAAATTAGTTACTAGAAAACTAATGAAAAGTTGTTTAGGGCATCATGTTTATATAGGACAAGGTTGTAATGCAAGGAAAGTAAATTGCAGTTGCGCAAATATTGAAACCAGTTCTCTCTGGGCGGAATTTGTAGACAAGAATAGCTGCATCAGTGTTTGTTTAGAATCCGAGGAGGATAAAAGCATTTAATTTTGATAATTTTGATAATTCCACATAATAGTTTCCTATGACCAAAATATTTCATTGATTTTTTATGTGAAATGTGGATCCCACGTCAGGCTGTGACATCCGTCTTGTGTTTACATTACCGCCCAGAGACAGTACACTGCAGTACAACAGATGCGTAGACCTCTGAAATAACTTTCCTTGCATTATAACCTTGATTTAGGGTATCATGTTTTGCTACACTTAGCAATAAGTTCTTATTAAAGAAGATGTGTTCTTGTTGCCACTGTACAGTTTATAAAGTTTTATTCCAATTTAAATGGAATATTTAAATAATTTCAAGAAATGTTATTTAGAAATCCAATGTCACATTGTTTTTTATATAAGAATGTGTAATTTTGTAATTGTATATGAGGAGGGGGGGGGGGGGGTTGAACTACTTCTTAAACTAGGTAGTGACTTATGCATGACCCGGGCCCCAACCAACCTTAATTAAACTGCAGAAACCAGTAAAATCAAAAGTCCATTAAGAATGCGAGTTTGTCCTTTAAAATGTGGCAAAAACTGAAAAAGTTTAAAGAACTCACCTATTGGCACTGTAATTGTCGGCGGCCTAAAACATAAACTTAAAGTTAACTTTAAAAAACAGTATGTTAATGTTATGTTATGTACATATATAACACAAAACGTTAGTATAAAGATCACATCAGATTTAAAGATTGTGATCATGAAAAATGCTTAACATATGTATGAACTGTGCAGTCTAGGGCTGGTTAAAAATCCGTTAACGAAGCGGAAGTTTTTGAAAATTAACGAAAGAGTCCATTAACAACGACATAACCCGATAATTTTTAGATCGTTAAGTAACGAAAATAGAAATTCCTAAAAAACTAACTTTCGTTGTTTTTATACTTGAAATTGAACGAAACTTGCAAAAATACATTTATATATTTTGAGGTTTTTTCCCCGCTTATTTGTTGAATAATACAATTTTATGTATTTTGACATTCTTTTTTAAGATGTTTTGAAGTTTTAAATGGTGTCTTCAATTTTTGTCCATGAAATAATTGTTAACAGCTCGCTAATGGTCGGCACCGTTAACGATTTCTAAAATATTAACGCCAGTAATAATGTTGTCATCGTTAACTAAAGTGAAATTTTAACAATAACGAAAAATACCATTAACGAAACTAACGTTCCGTTATTAGCTAAATAACTGACGACTGCAATTTACATTTTAACGGTTTTAGGCTTGCAGATTGACCTCCAGGCCCCGCGAAACCGTCTCGGTGCCTCTCACTTTGTCTCCGAGCCTCCTTCATTTTGTCACCACGCCCGGCATTTTGATAACGAATGGGTTGAAAAAAGTGTCTGCACGTGCTTCCTAGATCATCCTAGATCTTCCTAGATCTTCCTAGATCTTTCTAGATTTTCCTAGATCTTCTTAGATCCTCCTAGATCTTCCTAGATCTTTCTAGATCTTCCTAGATCTTCCTAGATCTTCCTAAATCTTCCTAGATCTTCTTTGATCTTCCTATATCTTCCTAGATCTTCTTTGATCTTCCTAGATCTTCCAAAATCTTCCTAGATCTTCTTAAATCTTCCTAGATCTTCATAGATCTTCATAGATCCTCATAGATCTTCCTAATCTTCCTAGATCTTCCTAAATCTTCCTAGATCTTAGTAGATCTTCCTCGATCTTCCTAGATCTTCCTAGATCTTCCTAAATCTTCCTAGATCTTAGTAGATCTTCCTAGATCTTCCTAGATCTTCCTAAATCTTCCTAGATCTTCCTAAATCTTAGTAAATCTTCCTAGATCTTCCTAGATCTTCCTAGATCTTCCAAGAACTTCCTAAATCTTCCTAGATCTTAGTAGATCTTCCTAGATCTTCCTAGATATTCCTAGATCTTCCTAAATCTTCCTAAATCTTCCTAAATCTTCTATGATCATGAATGTACAACAAAATACATGTGTGAACCTGATCAATTTTTCTCATAATCAGAAAGAATTGAGGAAATCGTTAGAACGACGATATCTTCCATATTATTGAGATAAAGTAAATGGAGTTTCACATAAAGTTAAAACGAACAGAGACCGAATTTAATGAATTTTAGACTCGTCTCAAATCCCTCATGAATCGGTTTTAATAGAGCACTGACTTAAATCTTGAAAAATTGAATACAATTTTGAGTGGAATCAACCATATTTAAATTTAAGTCGCGGCTCAAATTCTTTAAATTCGGCCCATGTTGGTTTAAGGATGTTGCTGCTTACACTTTTGTGTTATTCTTTGGTTTCTCAAATTTAGTCCCACAACAAGTATCTGTATGAGAACCCCAGGCTGGGAAACAATAAACCCCCACGGTTTTGTCCTAAATAATAGAATTAAATTCAAAACAACTATAGTTTCACATTGATTTAAATCAGTATGTTTATTTAACATGATAGCTAAATAATTATAGGATTTTTTCCTAATAATACAAAATAGGAGAATTTTTCTTTTGTGATTATTTTTTTTAACTTTATCAATTTATTTTTTTTAAATTTTTTTTATGTAATTATAGTTTCCTGTACATTTGGTTGCTTTTTTAAATGTCATTTATATATAAGGACTTTTTCAAATTAGATTTTTTAAGAGTTGGTCGCTTAAATTTCAAGTTTTTTAATTTGTCCAAAAAAATCAGTGTAGCATAATAAAATATAACACATTAAAAACTTTGTGTACTGGGTTGCCCCCCCCCCTTTACTTTCCTTTCTTCTTATTTTACTCTCCAGCTATTTTTCCTCTATCTACTCCACCTCTGTTTGCTTTCCTTTAGTCATAAACTGTTTTTGTTTCATTTTTTTATTTAACATGTATTTATCGCTGCAAAAGGGCCTCATAATCAAAACAACCATCAATGGTTAGAAAGGTCTTGGCTAAATGTAAAAATTGTGCAATACCTGTAATTAATATTATTAAAATATTTAGTCAAATATATCAATCTATCCATCTATCTATCTAACTTTATGTTTTGACTCGTGCGAAATACGCGTGAAGCTTTCTAAAACCAAAGCGTTGTGATTTCTCAATTTGTACAAGTAAGAAAACCTATGATTTGACCATTTTATTTTTCCAAAAAAATGTTTTATATATGCGTAAACCCGTTGTGAGTTTACTCTGAATTACTCTGAAAATGCAAACTATGATAAAGTCATAAAGCAAATTAACTTACAGCTCTGGTGTAGGCACAAGCACTCATACAAATCTCAACCGTTGCTATTGTCCATCCTGATATAGTTCATAAATATTAAAATAATAATAATTATTTTTTACTGTCGTATTTAGAAAGTTCCTGTGATTTAGTAATTTTATCTGTTTTAACTATAAAAACTGTGCCCGAAATGTTCTATACGTTTTTGATTACGTAACGTATGGTTTTATTAAAAACGTTCTTCATAATTCCAGCTGTATTCTGTTTAAGTTTAATGGTTTAAACCTGCAAGTTTTTTTCCTAAGAGAAAATTTAAAGGGAAATGAAAGAAACAACTTTCATTTAAAAAGTTAGATTTTTGGCAAATTTTTGGAACAAACAATTTTGAAATATGTAAAATTTCTTAGATTTTTGTAGAATCTTTAAAAAGTGTACCGTCATACCTTTACAAATTACTAAACTGTTTCCTACATTTTAAATACAAATATCATAAAAAGACGACTTTTATTAGGCTTTATAAACTAGTTATGATTATGACTGTACCGGGACGGTTATTTCAAACCTTTTCTGTAAACATGGTTAAAGGCAAACATTGTGAAAGAAAATTGATTGGAATAAAACTATAAAGTTATTCATTCTTAAAGGGAGTGACCGGCAATGTATGGTAGTTGAACTGAGAATATGTAGTTTTGTGATATATAAAACGCTTTAATAATGTATAATTACTGAGTTTGAGCGCAAAGTCGACGTTAAGAAATTATTTATTTGGGTGCAGTTATGTTATGAGAATAGATTTTTCTCTTAGTTATAAAACAACAACGACGAAAAATGTATCAAAAATTCTATAGTAAACTAATGAAATGTTTAGGAACATATTTCTCATCAGAAATTTGTCAATACTAGCCTTAGGGGGCGCTTCGCGCCCATCTTCTAAATTAATTGTGAACATGTTCTCTTTGTGTACATCGTAAAACAAAACAAAAATAATTCGCGGATTTTCACCAAAAATTTCGTGGATTTTCATAATTTCAAAAATTTAATGAAGATCGAATTTTGATGGAGACAAATATTTGAAATTTTGATCATTCATAAACCTTCCCTGTGGTCATGTGATGTCCCACAAAAAAAATTGGGTCCGATCGGTTCAGCCGTTTTGACGTTTGTTGGATACAAACAAACAAACACCCAAACACCAAGACAGACAGACAAGCCAAATTTATATATAGATATCAATGTTAGAATCAATTGTTTCTTTTTCATCATTATACGAATTTGTTGCAGATTTCAACAAACTCTTCAAATGTCGTCTTTTAAATAAAAATGTCTGTGTATCTACAGAAAATGTTTGTGAACAATGAGAGATCGCAGAAAGTAATAACTGAATAAGATTACTTATTTTCGATGATAAGAGTGAATATTTTTCTCTCAACCTGTTATTAAACAACTTATTAGTTTACTGTAGAATTTTTTTTACATTCTTTTGTCGTCGTTATTTAATAATTTTTTTAAGATAGATTCTCAATACGTAACAACCCAAATGGGCGATTTTGAAAGTCGGCTTTGCGCTTAAATTCAGTAGTTATACAACATTAAAACGTTTTTATGTTTCAAATGAATCCCAAAAAAATGTCTTAACAATACATTGCCGGTCACTCCCTTTAAAGAAGAACTTTATTATAAAAATTATGAATTATAAAAATCATGAATTATAAAAATCCTAAATTATAAAAATCATGAATTATAAAAATTATGAATTATAAAAATCGTATTATACATATTTTTACTGACTTGAATTATGGTGCATCAATTCATATACAGTATCAACCCCATCAGAGGAATGAACTAAAAAAAGAAAATATAAAATATATAAAAATTGTTATAAAAAAAAACAATATAACTCACTTTTTGAGTAGGGAATAATGTCAAGTGACCCCACACCTAGCTTTTATCAATTTTTTTTTATTATCCTCGATCTTTTTCCAGGAGTAAAATACTTTTCCAATAAATCGTTTCTTTAAGACAGTAAATTCTAATTTTTTAATTAACAATTTCTCTTTTTTGTAGATAACATCAAAGTGATCCTTGATTCACAGGAGGTTTATATTGCTCCTAAGAAGACCAGGATATTATAACCCTCCCCCCACCCCTTAATTCCTTAAAGGGTTAACATTACTAAGCTGTATTAAGGCAAGTTTTCCAGAAAAGTAAATGAATTTTTTTCACAATCTCAAATTGTCGAATCCCTGAGTTTGTAAAACTTTGAAACTTCAAACTTAGTACCAAGGATTCGCGTAAAAAAATATTCTTCGAAATTAAAAAACATGGAACTTTTCTATTTTTACCAATTTTATCCTCGCAATCATGGTTTGCCTGGATACAAGCAACTGCTAGAAGAAGAACAGCTGAAAATATTTGCAGCATGCCAGGGCCGCGGAGTTCTCTGAATTCCAATCAACATGAAGAATGCTAAATTTGTCAAATGTGTAATATATGCTGTTCGAACCACGCAAATCTGCCCCTTTAGTGAAAGTAAATTCAGCCTAAATGAAGCATAAAGTCTGACCGCGTCAACCATGTTGCACCGGCTAGTCCTGTCCATAGAGCTAGGTACAGTACAAACTGGGAACGGAAAGGTTGATCCGGCTCGGAAATTCAAATGTACTACGGCTACCCGTGGAACATACATATATAAAATACGTCGTACATTGTCTTAGAATCTAACTGCGTTTATCCTTGATTATGTAAAACTTGTAATGCGACTAAACTAGATTATATACCTGCGTAATATTGTGAATACGTATTGGAACTTAACATGTAACATTTAGATTTGTAAATAGAGATTAGTTAGAATCAGAACTCTGCTTTGATTAACAGGGTAGAGTAATTGTATCCCGTTGAGTATTCAGGTTGTGATAATACCTCGTTTCGGTAGAGATGGATTAAGGACTTGTAGATAGCCAATAGCTTGTTGATGCTACGCTTATGTCCCTGTGTGGCATTTAGAGCCGAAGTAATAGCTTGTTGATAGCTAGACTGAAAACCTGTTTTGATAAACTGGTGGGATTGTCCCCACATTGTTTATCAAGATCAAGCGTTCAAAAGTTTCAATCTCTGGCTAATAATTTGCAAAAGTTGTAAATGCTTCAGTTTTAAAAAGTTTTCTCGTCAGAATTTGGATTTTTTGTTAATTATGTGCAGAGGTCTTTAGCAAATTTTAGGATGTGAATGGCTAGACTCACCTTAATGCTTTTATCTTGTTAAAAAATTAAATTTAAAAAAAAATAAAAAATCTTGAATGTTAAAACTTTTTTGATTTTTAATTGACACTCTTGTTGATTGGAACCCACTGTCCCTATTGTATCTATCTATCTAACTAGGGGACTGAAGACTGATAAACAATGAACTGCTAACTACTGCAATGAACAATGAAGGTTTAGTTTTTCACAAATTCACAAAAAGATCAAAACAATTTTGCGTTAAAAGTAAGTTAAGAGACTAAGATTCTTTCATTCTAGAGTTCTCAAATTCTTTTTTCTATCGGTTTTCCAGTTATGTGAAGTTATGAAAGCAGAAATAGGAAAATATTTACAAACCCTCCAAAATAAGATGAGTACAAAAATTTTCCACAATTTTATAACGTTTCCTGAAAAACGCTTGAAAGAGAATATATAACAGCAGCAGTGTGTGTACATATTTTGACACTATAAATATTAAATTATGTAGGTACTTTCCCATAGGATTTTTCACAAGTAGCATCTTCCATAATGTGCACACAGGGACACAAGAGTATCTATCAAACAAGCTATATATATAACGATCCCAAATGATAGTGATAATCCAATGTTCTAAATGACACACAGGGACACACGGCTACAATCTCGTGAACGCCACTACACAGGGCATGATCTCGGTAGCTATCGTTGTCAATACAGACACTAGCAATCAATTGATCAATGTCTCAAATATGACACAATTTACACGGCTAAAATCCCATGAACTATCAACGCCACTACACAGGAGGCAATCTAATTAGCTATCAATGTCAATACAAACACTAGCACTTAATAAATCAATACCAATTCTCAAAGTATGATCTCCACTCATATGTTTCAACGAGAACCAAATTACTTCTAATACTGTAATCAAAGCAGAGTCTCAATCAACTAACTTTATTTAATATCTTATGTCACAAACAGGAATTGACATAGTAAAAAATCCGACAATGTTATTGTTATCACATGATTAAGACCATTGTATTACATATTTATCGCACAGTTAAAGTTTAATATATGTATTTATAGGATTAGAGAGAATATATATAACATAGGTAAGCTATCTCCGGATATGTTTTATAGCGTAATTCAAGTATGTCGCATGATTTAAGCTAATCATGTTAAGTATTCAATTTGAAGCGTAGTTTCAATAAATAATGTCATTATGTATAAGTTTACAACATTAAATCAATAAAATGTAAAACGTACCGCAGTTTTACAGAATATCATGTTTCCACGATTTTGCTAAAAACCTAACCTTTGGGAAGTTGCCGCTTGGGAAATTGCACGTTTGGGAAGTTTCCACTTGGGAAACTTTCACATGGTTAGTCACCATTGGGAAAATGTCTTTGGGAAAGTACTTAACACCTATTAAATATCGTATTAAAATCCAAATTGAACAGGTAATCCTTATAACACATGCAATTCATTTTTGGATACATTTACTTACTTTTTTCTATATTAACACAAATTTAAGTCGAAGAGCAGTGCTATCCTATAAATTTTTTTAGCTTCTGGTGTATTTAAATATCTTCAAATATTAAACAATCACAATGTGTTCGCAAACAATGTTTTTACACAGAGGAATTGTTCGACGAAGGCCTGACACCTGGTGTGTATTTTAAACCCAATCCCCAGCCCGTTTCCACCGGTCTCTATCTAGCACCCAATTCTAATGAGCCCACATACCCCAGGACTCTAAATATATTCCTCTCTCTTCTCTCTGTTAGGTTTCGGTTTGTAAGTCTGAGTAGTAGTAGTGGGCCGACTGCCTCAGAGTGCTTCAAGCCAACACACACACACACACCCTCACAAACCGGACACTAACACCCCGTTTTAGATAAATGTACATTCCATGATGTAACCATGATGTCAGGTGACAGTTTAAGGTTTGACAGGTCACTAGGAGGTCTAGGTAAAGATGACCAGCTTGATAGACTTCTGGCTGGTCTTGACGAGCTTAGTGGGACACTGCCTGACCTTGGTCGATCAGCTGGTGTCCACCAATCAGCTGGTGTCAACCATCAGCTTGTAAACAATCATTATCAGTCGTTAAACCAGAGAAATCAGCTGTCAGCTTCACGTGAAACTAGTATTTTATCAGATTGTCCTGATAATCTACCAAACAGGAGAGTGAGTGATTTAACTAAGCAAATGAGTGACGCAGCTCGAAGATTAAGTGACAATAGTCGACGTTTAAGTAACGATAGTCGTCATGGTAGTGAAAATGTTCGAACCTATGAGGACGATCTCGATTATGTACTCGAAAAGGAACCGAAATATTTTACTGCTTTCATTTTCAAATACTCTATTCTGCATTGGGCGGGGTGGGGAGCTACATTTTTTTTATAGAATTGGGCTGAGTCTGTTAATTTGTTCATTGCATTTGGTGGACGGTGGTGGATTCTAAAAAGAGTATCCACGACCACAAAATACATAACAAGTCAAGCTTGTGTTTTTCTATGACACAGAAGGGTGCATAGTTTATCAGCCCCCCCCCCTCTGAGGCCCTGACATATCAAATGGGTTAAAATATGTAGAAAAGTTTACAAAAAGGAAATGTATTTTTGCAGTGTAAGCATTTTAAAGGATTAGATGAAGTAAATCCATGGGTGTAAGTTTTGATTACAATACAGGTTTTCTGGTCTCAATACAAACGTAAAACAAACCACATCATATTTCAATCATATTCTGATCTATCAGATTGAGAGGGTACAAATATTCTGGTTTTATCAGGAGCAAAATGAACCTCCTGTGAAGGGGCAGGAGAGAAGACCTTTGATAGGAGTTGAGAATTATGGATCAGCTTATCAACGACCAGCAGGAGTTGCAGTAGGGGGAGGAGGAGGTGGTGGTGGTGGAGATGGTGGTGGGGTTGGTGGTGTTAATAAACCGACCGCCTCTGAACCACAGCCCTATCATACAAGATATGATTCAAAACCGTTCTCATATATAAGGTATGTAAAGATAGACAAATAGCAAAGAAAACGAACAATAGAAATACTTTTTTCCATTTTAGAAACATACACGAAGATATTTTCTATAGTATAATACAAAAGTATTAATGGAAAAGAAGAGATATGTGTTTATTTAGAAGTATTAATAAATATAAGATAAATCATTTGTATACCTTGTTTACTGGACTATGGAAAAATCCTTAGATATCAAATATCTTCTTTTTCCTTTTTCACAATTCACTCAATAAATCGATTTATGACTAGAGATTGAAACTTTTAATTGCACGGGATGAGTTTAAAAGTTGAGATTGACCAATTGTTAGTCATGTATAACTTGAGAGATTTTACCAACTACTCTCTTTTAAAATCAATTAAGACGTGGTAACAACTAACAACACAGACCAGAGCTCGGAAATTATTAAGAAATTATTAATCCCTATATGTGCGACGGATTAAGGCGAATTCATTCAAAAGTTCCGTCCTCAAAGTATTTTAATAGGACAGAAAGAGAATCAACTAAAATTCTTCTTGCAGGGAGATAAATCGGTCTCTCTATGGTTTAAAGCTTATGAGATTTTACCAATTGAATGAGAAATCTCTCATTTTACAACATCAAAAGCTATAGTGAGTGGTTGAGTGATGACCTAACTGACCAGGTGTGAGCTGAAGATTTAAACACAATATCAAATATTTTATTTCAAGAAAATGCAAAGTTTAGTGTTGATGCGAACCTTCGATTGAAAATGCAAAGTTTAATTTTGATGCAAACCTTCGATCAAAATTACAAAGTTTAGTGTTGATGCAAACCTTTGATTGAAAATGCAATGTTTAGTGTTGATACGAAACTTCGATTGAAAATGCAATGTTTAGTGTTGACGAGAACCTTCGATTTAAAATGCAAAATTTAGTGATGATGCGAACATTCGATTGAAAATGCAATGTTTAGTGTTGATACGAACCTTCGATTGAAAATGAAATATTTAATGTTGATGCAAACCTTCGATTGAAAATTTAATGTTTAGTGTTGATGCAAACCTTCGATTGAAAATGAAAAATTTAATGTTAATGCAAACCTTCGATTTAAAATGCAATGTTTAGTGTTGATGCGAAATTTCGATTGAAAATGCAATGTTTAGTGTTGACGAGAACCTTCGATTGAAAATGCAAAATTTAGTGATGATGCGAACAATTGATTGAAAATGCAATGTTTAGTGTTGATACGAACCTTCGATTGAAAATGCAATGTTTAGTGTTGATGCCAACCTTCGATTGAAAATGAAATATTTAATGTTGATGCAAACCTTTGATTGAAAATGAAAAATTTAATGTTGATGCAAAACTTCGATTGAAATGCAATGTTTAGTGTTGATGCGAACCTTTGATTGAAAATGCAATGTTTAGTGTTGATACGAACCTTCGATTGAAAATGCAATGTTTAGTGTTGATACGAAACTTCGATTGAAAATGCAATTTTTAGTTATGATGCGAACCTTTGATTGAAAATGCAATGTTTAGTGTTGATGCGAACCTTCGATTGAAAATGCAAAGCCCTGTAATCGTCGGCGGCCTAAAACATATTTTAAAGTTAACTTAAAAAACATTATGTTATGTTATGTACATATATAATAAGGGTGATCAATATTGGAATTGAGCCAACCGCCCACCAGAGGTCGCTGGGTTTTCACTTAAGAAAAATATTGCAATTAAAAAATTTTTCAAAATCGTCCAGAAGGTTGCGATTTGACGATTTAATATCGGAGAATTCACCGTAAGGCCAAAAAAAAAGTTTTATTTTTTATTTTCATGTTATACATCATTTTCTTGGAAATTTAATGCCGAATTCAAATCAGAAAAGCGTTTTAAAAAAATTGAAAATTGAGTGAGTTAGAGCTTAAAAAACTCATCAAAAACATTAACAAGTTAAAAAACCTGAATTTAGTATCGTTATTTGGCCATAACGTCTTTAGATTTTAATATTTTTAAAAATGGTTTTCGAATCTGAATTCAGCATGAAATTTCCAAGAAAATGATTTGTATCATATTTATTTTTTAGGCCTTACGGCGATTTCTCCAGTAATAAATCGTCAATTCGCAACCCTATGGACGATTTTTAATTTTTTTTTGATTACAATATTTTTTATAAAGTAAAAACGCAGCTACCTCAAGTGGGCGGCTGGCTGATTTCTAAAAAAGTCACAAATCAATCACCCCTAATATATAACACAAAACGTTAGTATAAAGATCACATCAGATTTAAAGATTGTGATCATTAAAAATGCTTAACATATGTGTGTACTGTGCAGTCTAGGGCTGGTTAAAAATCCGTTAACGAAGCGGAAGTTTTTGAAAATTAACGGAGGAGTCCGTTAACAACGTCATAACCCGATAATTTTTAAATCGTTAAGTAACGAAAATAGCCTTTCCTAAAAAAACTAACTTTCGTTGTTTTTATACTTAAAATTGCACGAAACTTGCAAAAATACATTTATATATTTTGAGGTTTTTCCCCCGCTTATTTGTTGAATAATATAATTTTATGTATTTGATATTATTTTTTAAGATGTTTTGATGTTTTAAATGTTGTATTCAATTTTTTCCAGCTAAGTCACATGACAAAATTGTCAACGGCTCGCTAATGTCCGGCACCGTTAACGATTTCTAAATATATAACGCCATTAATAATGTTGTCATCGTTGACTAAAGTGAAATTTTAACAATAACGAAAAATGCCATTAACGAAACTAACGTTCCGTTATTAGCTAAATAATTGACGACTGAAATTTATATTTTAACGGTTTTAGGCTTGCAGATTGACCTCCAGGCCACGCGGAACTGTCTCGGTGCCTCTCACTTTGTCTCCATTTTGATAACGAATGGGTTGAAAAAAGTGTCTGCACGTGCTTCCTAGATCTTCCTAGATCTTCCTAGATCTTCCTAGATCTTTCTAGATTTTCCTAGATCTTCTTAGATCGTCCTAGATCTTCCTAGATCTTCCTAGATCTTTCTAGATCTTCCTAGATCTTCCTAAATCTTCCTATATCTTCTTAGATCTTCTTAGATCTTCCTAGATCTTCATAGATCTTCATAGATCTTCATAGATCTTCCTAAATCTTCCTAATCTTCCTATATCTTCTTAGATCTTCTTAGATCTTCCTAGATCTTCCTAGATATTCCTAGATCTTCCTAGATCTTCCTAGATCTTTCTAGATCTTCCTAGATCTTCCTAACCCTATTTTGCATCTTTGTTTAAGGGTCATTAATAGTGATTTAAGTGATGGCGGTCTTGTCTTTAATTTAGAAAAATAAAAGGATTTTTCGCTTCCATCTTTCAGCGGTCTAACTGCTGCCTGCATCCTTTCTCTTTTATATTTTTCACTATTTTCCTTTTCATTTAAAAAATTAAAGAAATAAAAAATAAAAAACTACTACAAAAATTACAAATGATGCAATTAAAATAAGATTTAAAATGATTTTTTAATCTTTAAGAAACGTATTTAACTTCGAAACCAAAATAAAGTAAATAAGACAAATACTAAATCAGACTATTTCAATTTATATTGGAAAATTCAAACTTTCAATTCAGAAATGAATCTGAGTTGGGATCAAGAAAAGAGTTAAAAGATTTTCAGAAACTGAAAATATAAAAAATATTTTGAAATAAATTTAAAGTTTTTACCAAAAATGTTTAGTTTTCAGGGTTATTTCCCCACATTTTTCAGTTTTGGGTGTTTGCTTTAATAGATTTAGAAGAATATTTCAAGAGTTAAGGTAAGCAAGCAATATTAAATATTTTCATTAATTAATCA